CTGTTTCAAACCCTACTTTGAACGGCAGTGGCACTCACAAGCCAAGACACCGCCTCTGACTCGGAGAGTGATGGGTCCCGCTGTGCGTCACTTTGCATATTCAAAGCGGAGTGTGTCAGGCAAACATGGTATTTACAAGGAGTCACACAACTCACACAACGAGTCTCAGGAGAGTCAGACGTTACTACGTATCTGAGGCCCTGATGAAATCATCACACAGCTGTGGCATACTGCAAAATGCAATGTGGGAAATCATACCCACAGATACACAACAAAACGTGCACACACACACACACAAAATATTATCAATTACGTGACTGAAAGTAGAAAGACTCACCTAAAAAAACAACATTTGTTCTTTGTTCAAATGGCTAAACGGTTTACTTTTACCTGACTTTAGGAACAAAGCCGGTCGTAATGTGTTGTTTGGCACATCCTGTTTTCTACCAGAAGTGAATGTTGGTTTCTTCTGACCTTTCCCTAGACTTTATTATGTATATTTTGTGCCAAAAACTTTACCAAACCTCTGCCAGAGAAAGTCAGAGAGAGAGACGAACACTAAAACATCTAAATGTAATATTTCCAGTAATTGCGCTCGATAGACAGATACGACTCTTTGTATCTGTCTACTGCCTATGTGTGTGCTTTTAAAAGGTCTAAAGGTCTGAGAGAGAGAGAGAGAGAGAGTGATAATGGGTGATAAAAAAAATGATAAAAGAAAAGTGATAAAAAAACCGCAGAAGATGCTGAAAGAAAGGAGAAAAAATGTAGAAGTGGAGAACAAAAGAAGAAGAAAAGGCAGCAGAGGGCACCTTTGTGAGGATGAGACGATAAATGTAAAGATGGTTGACGGAAATATCGTAAAAGCTCAAAGCTGATGGTTGCTCGGGTACTCGTGCTAATGGTCAGTGCTCCAGAGGCAGTTTGTTTTAAAGTACAAACGGGTCTTCAGTTACTATGGCGACAGGGCTATTACAGACTGACATTTAACTATCGCCTCTTCTGTGTCTTGAGTGGGCGGTTTACGCTGAGAAGTGCTAGCCGTATTGTACTTGCAGCAACTTTTCCCCGCTCACTCACTGTATGCTAACCTCTAAGCTGATAAAAAAAAATGAAGCATAATGCAGTCAGGCAAGATGCAGAGATGCATAATGAGATGCAGCACGTTGGTATAAGAGGAATTTATGAATGAGAATCCCTCCTCTCATGTGCATTTGTGTTGCGATCAACGCTTATGGCAGAGTAAGTCACGACCTTGCTGAGCTTGCTTGTTCTTGAATTATTTTTCGCTTCATCACTTTCCAAAGGGACCGTGTCGGCGTTTGCAGCTTTTTAGTCTCAGATTTAACATTATGCAGCTAAACGTGGCTGTTGCCATAATGATCGCGTAGGTTCGGGCTATAACGCTCGTAATGACAAGGCCCAAATTGCAAATTGCAAACTCAGTTTGAGCAGTGTGCCATCTGCCTTTATAGACAGACAGGCCAGTTGCGCAATTGGCTTCAGGTCAAATTCAGATTTTTCTAGCTTTAACCAATAGTTATTTCTACATTTTACTAATTTTTAGCAAATCCAATATGAGATCTGGGAGCACAGCAACAGATGGCTAAGGAAATTCCCAGTTTCACTGTATTTTCTTACATATTTAGAAGTTCAAACAGAGGTCACTCTTCATGTTATTTCATTTTAAACAACTATTACTCTTCGCAGGGCTACCTCTAGGATCCACTTTGCCCTCGCCCACTGACCTTGAATGTGAGCATACAGTTTTTCAGTGAAATAATTGTCTGTTGTGGACATTTAATGTGTGTTCACCGCTTTTCAAACTAATTAATTTGAAATAATAAATAATGGAATGAACTGGGATTTGTTTACAATCCTTCTAAATGTCCTGACTGCTCATTTGCTTGGCCTAATCGTAAAGTGCGTCTAGTGATGTCGTTTTGTATCAAGATCTCAGCAATTAAGTTGCTCAGTAAGATGTTGCAACCGTAAGGGAATGATGGACACAACTATGGAAATAAGGTCCATCTTTGAAAATAAACACTGTTTATCATAGTAATACAACTAATGGCACTATTTATAACACAGACACATACGATAATGAAGCTGCCATGGATGAGGTACAAGAAAAGAAGGACACACAGCTTTTCTTCTGCTGCTGTTTCTCCTCACTCTCTTCCTGTCCATCTTCCCTTCCTCCCTCACCTCCCTTGTACTCTTTGCAATGAGCTTCAGTTTTTTACAATCACTCATTGGGATGAGGGCAGCCGACCAACGGCCTGTGTGCGCGCGTGCTCGGGCCATGCGGCCGTGCGTTGGTTCTGTTGTCTGCGTGGGAACCCATCTGTGCGTGAGCGTGATGTGTGAGCATGTCAGGGTGTAGCTGCGAGGGGGAGAGCGGAGTGTGGTGCCGAGAGAGAGGGGAGGAGAGACGGGTGGAGGAAGGGAGAAACGGGTGGTGACTGTTTAACATGATCATTGAGCAGCCATATTCCCTTCCCCCAGTCTCAATCATCCACTCCGCTTCTCCCATCTCCTCTTTATCGCGACCACAGCTGAGCTATCATGACTCCCCCTCCCAGTTGTGCATTTTAAAAGGTAATTAAGCTGATATGTGAGCACACTTTAAACGCCCAGAAAAGCAGATATGCTGCCTCTGTAATTGCATTCACTCTTAGGTGGCAGTGTTTAAACCTGCTCCTCCTCCTCTCCACCTTCACTCTCTCCCTATTTTACATGCCTTCTTCTCCCTACACCTTTCTTCATCTTTTTTCATCACCCATCCGTCTTTTGAAATTTGCTTTCTTCCATCCTACTCATCTGCTTGTCCTTCAACACCGTCTCTCTCCCTCTCTGTCTCCCCCTCATCTCCCTCCTGCTGTAATGACTGAGAGGCTGAGAGACCAGCAGCAGCAGCAGGCAGACAAGAAACACACAGTCACTCATAGTCACGCTCCAAGGGGCACTTGAGAGTGTGTGTGTGTGTGTGTGTGTGCATGCAGGAGTATGACTGATCTCCCAGGGGGCCAAGGTTGTTTCGAGGGTCATTGAGGAAGTCGCCATGGGAACACAAGCCCTGCCTTGTCTTTCATTGTTGCTCAAAAAGCACAATATGTGTTTGTGTGTCAATGAATTTTCTTTGAAGTCCACAACTATCTTAAACTATACAATATGTTACGGAGTGTTTAAAACGGTGATGCTAAAACAAAGGGAACAAACTGGGCATGACTTAGAAAAATAACAGCACTGAGACCGCCACATAATTCACTGTAGCTCAGTGAACAGCCACACAGCAGAGGACTCCCTGGTATCAATCTGAGTAAGTGTGCAACCTTCAGCCCTCTTTGCCCCCGGGAAATTAAAGGAAAGACCTACATTAACCATCTAAGGTGTTGCAACACAACAAGCCTCCAGAGCCCTTTTGTAACTATACTGGAGGGATGAACCCCATTTTGCCAAAACATATATCCTCCACTTGGTGTTTTGATGATGGTGGTGGAGAGCATTGAGATATGGTGACTGTGAGGGCCACAACAAATGGTTCCCATCATATCCATGGCTTCAGTGACCCTTCGCGACCTGTGTGGAAGCATCTGCATTGTTTTTCTCCGCTCATTTATTCGGGTTTCTTCTTGAATTTGTCAATGATTTGAGGATCTGGCAGGATTTGCTTTCAAACTTTACAGTGAATTCAGTGCATTAAGGCAGATTAGCTCAGGAAAACAGACACAAGAAAGGACGTGAGAATAATTTACGCCAAATCACGTCTGCTGATACACAAGCACAGTAGAGAAATATGCATGCTAGTTTTGCTCCTCTCTCAGGTAGGCATGTTGCTTGACATCCGTAGGAAAGCGAACGAAAAACGAGGAGTAACAAGAATATCATAAGTACAAGAATACTTCAATTACATTGTTATGACTCTTTCAAAGAAGTTACTTTCCAATAATGGGCAGTAGGAAATAGTGCGTTGAGGAAAGCACATCTCAGCAAATAATCGCAAAGAATCTTAAGGCCCATCCCTTTACGATAAAACCTCATAACTATTCCCCATTACTCTTAAGACACATGAACTACAGAGGTCAGGAGTTATCATCAGGCGGGTTGTGCAAATGATCTTTTTAGCCCAATTTCCTGCTCCCCCTGTTTTCTACCCTCTGAATATGTAAGAAGCAGACAATTTAATCTTCCAAGCGACTTGATGGTTCACATGTTAGCTGAACACTGACTTCTTCATCCACAAGTGTTTAAAGTGTTTCCAAAACACCCAGTAGGTGGTGGGTTGCATCCTGAAATATTTTTGTCATTTCAACCACATTTAGTGGAATGCTTTCTCGTGTTGCATGGCCTTAATGCTGCTTTGGATGCATTTCCACCCGGCCTAAAAATATCTGGAGCGAACAGTTTGGACGTGACCGTGGCTAACAGTTGGTGACAGTAGCTGTGGCTCACAAGCCATGCTGTTTTGTCAGCATGTGGCAAGCCGGGCGAGCCAGCGAGTCTGTCATACAAAGCTCTGAACCTCTCCCTTTATCCTCTCCTTCTCATCCATCTCTCCGCCTGTTTGTTTGCCTATAGCTGTTGTATATCCACTACCGTATCACGGTTTAATTCAAGCTTCTAGAAACACATTCTGTACTGTACTTTAATGTTGGGTATATGGATGTATATAATGAAATCTATATGTTCTGGGTGAAATAATGTGTTAAGAAAAGCCTCACATCCTGCTGTAAGACAAGTGTGGTTCTGTTCATGGTGCTGAAACAACAAACTCATGTAGCACTTTGCTTCTCAGCCCAAGTCTATCTATCTATCTATCTGTCTTTCACTGTCTCAACAATAATCTATTTTCTAACGAGCATAACAGCCAACTTCTCAATTGCATGCATGACTCAACAAGCAGATGTATCTGTAACACCAATGTAAAAAAACAGCAGAAGGGTGAGTGAATGGATCAAAAGACAAAAGCTTATTTTTTGAAGGGTGAAGACTCTTACCTCCAGAGATAAGAGGAATTCACCGGGTCACATTTAGGGTAGTGGTGGCTCCTTGGAGCTCAGGTCCCGACCTCTGCTGGTTGTAGTTTGTGTCGACCTCAGTCACTGGATAATGAGACCAATAGCAAAAAAAAAGCCCCAATGTCAGCAAAGTAATCAGCAAAACACTGAAGTGCCAGCTATCGAAGTAGAGATGGAGCAAACTTGAGTCCAAATAAACCAAGCTGGGCCTGATCCTCTTTAGTTGTTAACACAAAATAAAAAGACGAAATATCATAAGAGTCCTTTGCAAAATATTCTTATTCTTTGTTGCCAGACTACTTTTCCAGACACATTCTTGTTATTCGCATGCAAAACATTTTCTGTCCAATTCCAGACTCGCAGAAAGACAACTGAAAAAACACCCGACTAGAAAAACGCTCCGACAACAATATCTCTGGAAAGATGTGCCAGCCGCACGCAGTTCCATCCACCGCTTGTCTGGAGTTGTTTGAACAGCAGATACTGGTTTGCCGACGCTGCCCGCAAAATAAAGCACTCCTACGCAAACATCATCATCAGCCTCGGCAGCATGCGTGTTGGAGGAGGAGACGGGATAATAGAGAACCTCGACATCTCCATTTCAACAACCAGTTTCCCACCGTCCGAGGAGGTCGAGGTCAGCTATTTGTTGTAACGCTGCTCGGGGTTCCGCCGCCAATGGACGCGCGACTTTGTTTCTTTTTCTTCTTCCCTTTCAATTATTTCTATCAATCTGTTTCTCTATCTCCTCCCTCCCTCCAGCGCGTTTCTCTCTTTGCGCCCCATGTTTGGCGAAAAGCAAGCCGGCCGGTCGCTCTAGGGCTACAACGTGTCTGCAGCTTGCTGGTCCTACAGAATAAAGGCTACAGTATATTTGACGCACGGTTGTTGGATGTTTGCTGATTTCCGGCGCTGAGCGAGGACGAGTCTTATGCGCTTTGAATTCAGAGGCGGCTCTTAGTGCCTGCCGATCCAGTGAGCGAACGCAGCCTGGAGTGTGCAGTCGGAGAGATGGCGCTTTAGTCACGGGCTCAGAGTGGCTGTAGGTGCTAGAAGAGAGAGGAGACAGGGGTGGGTGGGTCTGTGAGCTGTGTGCGTTTGGTGGGACTTAATAAAGGCATTGAGGGGCTGCTGGATTTTTAGTTCGGAGATGTAGCTCGACATTTTCATCACATCAAAATAAGTAAAATCCTGTGTCAAAAGGTCACTACCACAAATCTGGATAAATATAGAAAAAGTGCAGAGAGGAAGTGCCTGTCCTCAGACAAACTCTGCAAATGTACAACCAGGAGCCGTCACACAGCCACTGGAGCCAAAATCGGAGAGATCACTATGTCCTCCTGGCTGCACTGGAGATCAGAAGCTGGTGCAGCATTTCGAGAAGATTCATTGAGCTTCCCTCTTCCAGTTGCAGCAGTGAATCACCCAAGGTATATGCATATGTGACAGACAACTCTATAAAGATAATTAAAACATTACACCTGTCCTCTGCCCAAGGTTTGGCCAAGGTGGAAAAACAAACTGTCCCTCTGTCTGGAACAAAACATTCATTAAATTCCATTAGTATATCAGACACAATTGTCCCTGGAAGGATCATTTTTCACTACTTTTGTCTTCATCCATCTCTCTCTCTCTCTCTCTCTCTCTCTTTTCTCACCTCTGACTCAATCCATCAAGGCTCTCCTATCCCATTCAGATCAGACGAGGGGGCAGTTTGAGGCAACGTTAAGAGTAGCAGTGTGAGTTTTCATTGCATTCATTATTCAAGCTCACAGAAGTGGAGATTAGTGCACTTTGAGAGTGTGCTGCAATAAAATATTTATATCAGGAGAGAATGAGATGGTTGGATTGGTCATGTTGATGTGAACTCTGCTTTTATCCATTCCCATCTCTGTCTCTCTCTCTCTCTCTCTCTCTCTGTATGTGTGTGTGTGTGTATACACACATGTACACACAGAGTTGCCAAAAAGCAGCTCATAGGATTAGATAAGAGTCAACAGCAATATTTAAATGAAGCTTTTATTGTTGGTCTATTATCAATGAACAGCGATGCACAATAACATCAACCACTGCAACAAGCTGGTTTACCAAACAGGCAAAGTATAGGCATCTGCCTATAGGGGAATGTCCCAGGTGTAGTTACTACATCGACATAAATAGTTTTTGGTGTTTTACAAACTTGTAAGGAATTTGCACCACTTAAAGTGAAACTGTGCAACTACCTTTCTCGTGCAATAGAAAAGTTGAATTCAGAAGCAATAAAACAGACTGTTGCTCACTTCAATACATTCAGGTTTCATTGTACTTGGTCTGTATTATGGAGGACTAACATTAGCTAATTATAGCAAACTTAGGATAGATATTGCTGTGTAACTTGCTGACTTCATGACGCTACTTCTTGTGGTTCTGTTACGCTACATTTTAGCATTTGGCATGAACCTGTAATTGCCACTTAAGGCCACAATGATTGCTGTTCAGCAAATGTTGCATAAGCTTAATCTAAGGCAGTTTCTGTATTATTACCCAACAATGAGGCATTGAACTCTATATGGGTCCTGTGTAAAAATCCAGTTTCAATACTGTACTCCAAAAGTCACAAGGGGCAAATTTCAAAAATAAAGTTGTGCTTCGTTGAATTACTGCAAAAACTATAACTGAGGTAAGGTTGGTCTCTACATGTCTGGGCATATAATGAAGGAGATAGGGGCAGAGGTTTCAATGTGGATGAATGATGAATTATATATATATATATATAATGAGTTATAGCTCTTGAGCCTCCTTTCAATGCTTTTTGTGAAGCTTGTTTGAAACTTTATCAGAAAGTTGTTGAATCCTAATTATTGAGGCTGTGTCGCAGCCCGGGGCATGATGGAGGACTCAAACGCAGACCAGGCAGAGTAGCGTGAAGCAGGCGTGTTATTAAACACAAATAGGAATATTTACCAACACAACAGGGAGTCCAAGCACAAGACAAGACAAGACAAGACAAGACAAGACAAGAGACAAGGGGGGAAATCCAGCTGGAACGAGACAAGGCAAGCAGACGGGGAGACGGGGAGACCGAGAACAGGACAAGACAACCGGGCGGGTAGAACACAATGATCTGGCAGAGAGTGACTGAGAGGCAGGGGTTTAAATAGTGGCTAGAACAGGTGAGGAGAGTTGTGCTGATGAGGGAGTGCTTGATTACTGATCAGGGACAGGTGAAGGGAGTTGGCTGACAGGTAGAGTGAGAATACAGAAAAACACACAGAACACACAAGGCAAAGACTGATCGTGACAGGCTGTAGTTCCTGTTTTTTTTGTGAAAGGTGTTACTGGGATGTCATATACTATTAAGCAAACATTCAATCCAATTAATCTAAAATAATTTACCATCGAGCTAAATCAACACAATATCTCTCTGATGCAGTTTCTGAGACGATGAACATGTTGCAGGACTGTTAAATAGTATTGCTTTGTATTATACTTGTAATGTAATGCGATCAGACTCTAAATACAATGCCAACCATGCTACATAACAGAAAACTATGTTTATAAGCTACGGATCAGTTGTCGCCTAGACTCCTAATTATTTTGGCATCTCCGTGTGTGTTTTTGTGTTTGACCATGCATTAGCTTCTCCCTAAACTGAAAGCAAAGCATGATGGGAAAGTTTGCGGAGCAATATCTGGATGATTGTTCTAGGCAGGATAATGTCAGATAGACCCCCAGGCTTTTTGCATAAACACACACACACACACACTGTATAGACATGATTACACAAAAGACCATCATTCTCTCCCTAAATCTGTTCTTCCCCACCCGTCCCCCATTCTATCCCCCTCTTTCTCCATCGTTCCCTCCGGATCACAGCTGACTTTACGGCGTTCATGTTTGCTGACACATCAGTAGCAGTGGCAGAAAGACAAGTGTGCATCTAAGAGAAATGACATGGCAGGAAGAGCGTGAGAGAGGGTGATCAGCAGTAGCAGAGAGCAGTGCGACAGAGGAGAGACAGACGGATAAAAAGGTAGAAGTGCTGGGGTATAAAAGATGGAACGAAACAGAAAGACACAGAGAAAGAGAAGATTATTGAGCCTCAAGTGAAGGCCAGAGACACACATCTTGCCTCAGGGACTAACAGCCTTTATTACATTAACCAGTCTGTGCCTCTCTGTTCTGCTCTCTCCGCTTTCAGCTCAGATCCAAACCTTTTCCTTTACGGAAAATGGATTAGATGGTTTTTACGTCATGTACAGAATTTAGTCCAACACCCATTCACCCTACAGCACATTTGATGACGAGATTTCCCTGGAATTCACAGGAACTTGAAATTCATTGAATCATCCCTTCATGACATGAAAAGAGATGTACAAATGAGGTTGCACCTCCTGCAAACTGTCCATCCATCCATCCCGTACGTGTCCCTATCCCTATGACTCTGAAGAATGAAAACACCAGGCTGAAAAGCAGAGCTTCACTGCCCTCTCTGGATGACAGCCTGTTTCACTTGGGTGTGGTCAGCATGCTCATTTGTAGCCTCTGTAACCACACCCAACAGTGATGTCAATGGGGTATGTGACATGTCTTAAATAACTATCTTCCTTCCGGGTTTTCATTCCAACTAAAGACTTCACCCACTGACAGCAATCTTTTAAAGGTGCTCAATACGAAATTCAGAGCATATTTATTGTATGCCTCCACTTGGCTCTCAACGTGGTGACGACTGAGCCCGCGGATCACAGATGAACAGCCTACAGGTATGTAGACAAAGCACAGAGAAGCTCAGATTACAACACACAGACAGGGAGAGCGACTTCATTCTCTGATTAGGTAGACATTATTCCACTATATCTTTACATAGCAAATAGCTGTTGGCTGCTACATTAATGCTCTGAATCCGGTTTATAGAACCTTTAAGGCAGGGGTCTCAAACTCATTTTCACTCTGGGCCACATCAGCATCACGGTCGCCCTCAAAGGGCCGGTTGTAAATGTAAGACTGTAAATGTAACTACTCCTAACATATTGGTCAATAACTGTCTCTGTATTTGATTATTCTTTATTCAAGTGTAAAAATATTGTACATGCAGTTATATAAATGTAAAATATATTTAAGCACATTTCTGTTATTATAACTTAAATCCTTTTAATTTAGGGTTAAGAAACCCACATTACTCTATCAAAGATCAAACTATTAAAGACAATATCAAAGACAAATATCAAACACAAGTTATTACAATAACTTTGTTCAAAGCTTAAAATCCTTTGAAGGGTGTGTTTGCACAATCCCACGTGAAGTATTTCATGTGTTTTAAAGCCACGTTTAAAGTAGTCTTCAATGTACTCACAATACATTTCTATGTCAAGTGTACAGTAACCAGCCAAAGAGCTGCTTCTGTGACTGTGTGTTTAGGTATCTCATAACTTCGACTTTCTATCTCATAATTCTGACTTTCTATCTCAGAATTATGACTTTCTATCATAGTTATGACTTTCTGTCTCATAACTTCGACTTTCTATCTAATAATTTCGACTATGGGGATATTTTTACTATCAAGTCTAACTTTTAATTATTTAATTTTTTATTTAATTTTTTTTAAACTTTTTTTTTTGCTGGTGGATTCGCGGGCCACATAAAATGACGTGGCGGGCCGGATTCGGCTAGCGGGCCTTGAGTTTGAGACCCCTGCTTTAATTAAAGGGAAGGGGAAAAAAACATATCAATGAAATCACTTAGTGAAATAACTTAGTGTAATCGTCTTTTTCACTGCAGACATTTGACTTGTCACAGTAGGAAAAGCGCAGGTGTTACTAATAACATTTCCGACAGCTCTGTTGGATTCAAGAATCCCAGTAAGTTGTGAGAGTGTGACATTGAGGCAACATGCACAATACCAGGATCCTGAAACTGAAGCAGCTCAATGGAAAACAGCCATCATTGATTGTATTTTACTGTGACATGTCCAAAGATCCTGCATGTGAAAAGGGCCTTTTAAAAGCTGCAGGGTGTTGGATTGGTGCCTCTGTGACATTGGTTTTGAGAAGTGCTACCATATACAAATAAACTGTGATATAATCAGACTGCATATAAAGATTTCTATTCATACGTCCTTTCATTACCCTTAATGTTGGTTTCTCTTTTTAATAAATGTATGTGTTTTTATGATTTTATGAAAATGCATTTCCTCATTTTGAACTTAAATTAATTCAGATTTTCTACAGTTCTTTGTTTGACTGTGTGTTGTTTTGCTCTACATCCTGATTCCGTGCAATGTCAAGCTCCCTGTTTGTAAAGCTTTTTTATGCCCTATTGATTCTCAAATGTGTGTAGAAGGCAGGGACAGGTCAAAGCACATAAGCACACAACACTTTTCTACAGGGACTTTACTAACCCTTTAAACCAACCCCCGAATGTGTCCCTCTTGCGTTTGAAACCCATAATTGACACTTTGATTAGGTCTTCTGCCACCTGAGGCAGTGGCTTTAGGAAATGCATCACTGCCTTGTTTTCACCTCAACAGTCGCTTGCTGCCCCCTGAATCCACTTTGAATCAAAAAAACACAACAAGCAAGGTGAAAGATATAGTGTTTGGAATACTTTTTGTCAGGAAATGCACAAGAAAATGTATGATACATGCTCACCAAAGCAACAAAAAAAAAGACAGAGATGGAGCGAGCAATAAAGTTTAGTTAGTCTAAGCAGATTGTCGTTGATAATGTCCATGGTTGAATTAGGGTCAATTAGGGGCGGGCAGATGTGCAGAATCATGGTTGACCCCAGGGCTTAAAGGATACAATCCAATTTTCCTCAACAAATGTAATACTATTAGAGTGGATAAAAACAGACAACTCACAAGGGAGGAGTCTCTTAAAAACCAGGGAGGGGGATGAGACAGAGCGAAACGGAGCAGTTGCTCAGAAGAAAGACACAATACACACAAGGGCTTGAAAACAGAGAAACCTAAAGACAGGAGAGATTAGTGAAACTCAAACTTCTCAGAAAACAAGGGCCTGGGAGGATAGAAAACATGAGAAGAAAAGAATAACCAACCTCACCTGACCACTGCGAGGGAGATACTGAGTCTACTGTGGCCAGAAAGGAGAGCAGACAAAACCAGTGAGTGTTTCAGAGTTGAAACTCTTATAGAACTACAGCATTGTAACTACAGCGCTGACGATATCTTTTTTTTTTGACTCTGGCTGAAGAGACTGAAAGAAAAAACAGAAGTGAAAAAATTTGCTACCACACTAATTGAGATCCATCCTTTAGGGTATGAGAATCTGCAATAAGAACTTCCGCCTTCAGGACATCACCATCATGTACTTCACAGCCCTGGCTGCTTTAATGGTCATCTTGTTGGCTTCGTATCAGGGGCCCACCAATGCTGTCGAAGTGTCCAGCCTAAAATCAACCTCCCCCGGCCCTCTCCCACCTCTCCCCATGCCCTTCCGTGTGCCCCTCGACCCAGGCGGGAATCTCCAGCTGGCCTGGAACATCAGCTACCCCGACCAGGAGGTTTACATGGAGCTGCGGGTGGCAGACATCAAACATGGCGTGGTCCTAGGGATGTCCGACCGCGGGGAGCTGACCAACGCTGACCTGGTGGTGCTCTGGGACTCTGGAGCTAATAGCTACTTTGGGGTAAGCAGGAATTTGTGTCATCTGTATAATCTGTCTTACAAATTATTGAATTTAAAAGAATTTGAGGAGTTAAATCTAAAAAAGAAAATTGACAGAAGGCTTGCCTCTAAAAAGGTGTGGATATCAAGCAGTTTTCTACACAAGGTGTAAAATCAAATCATTTTACCTTCTTTCTCACTCACTCGTCAAATTCATAAATGCAGAGGGATTACATGAAGTCCTTAAGGAATGGAGGTTTCCCTCATCTGTCTGTAGTCCCCGAGGTGTGAGATTGTTGTTTTTGCACGAGGAGCCGGCGGACGGCTTGCCTCGTGATGATCACATAGTCACAAAGGATGTTATCGGCCCCTGCTAATTGGAAATCACTCAAACTGCACTAATAGCTGAAGTTCTTTGGGGAATTATTAGCGGTTATTATCATATCAAAATTGAATCCTGTGATGATTAAGATGTGTAGAATGTCTCATTTTCATTTAGCCACACACACACGGCTTTAACAAATATAAGATTTTTTTATTTGCATATTTGCTTTCCTGCGGCTGTCATCACGGTAATGGCTAATGGACTGCGACAGAATGTATTAATATATCTTTTAATGCTGATCGCTATCAATGGAATAAAAATAGAAATATAAAAAATACGAGATACAAATGTTCTTTTTCTAAACAAAGAAAGGCCAGACAACTCCATTAAAATGTAAAGTTTTATTGACTTATTCAGCAAAGATAAAACACACAAAGAAGAAATCTCTGCTGTGAATCTCTATTGTGATTAGATCTGAGGCCAGAGGCAGCATCCAGAGGACACTTTCTATTGAATGATGCACATCAGAGTTTTGGGAAAGATGGGGGTGACATATACTTGTGTCTCATAAATCTAGTCTGTCCCTTTATACTAGCACATTTATTCCATATGTTGCTATTTCTAGAACAGCGCTGAACAAATTAGACCTCCAGTAGGATAGTGAACTGAGGTAGACACTCTACATTATGATAATCAAGGATACTTTTTGATTTGGATATATGGTTTGGTTTTAGTTTTGTGCCTTTTGGTGCTTTATAATTATTGTTATGTAATTAAATGTAAAGTATTTAAATAATACAAGCAAAAACTCTTCATTGTTGCATTTTCAAGGCTTAAAACTTCAGAATTATAAAAAGATAAAAATAAATAAAGATATGACTTTCATCTGCAGGTTGTGGTATAGTGTATTATGTACTCGCACACAAAACATACACTGTATACTGCCCACATTTTTTTCCAGATTTATATATAATGTATTTATTTTCAAGATCGTTGGCTTCAGAATCTTTTGCAGTTTGTGTGGAAGAGTTACATAAGAGGGGCCGAGAGGGAGACAGAAATACAGCGATCTTAGGTGCTATTCTGGACAGATATGAATGTGAGAAACATAACAGAAGCAGATAGACTGAGCCTCCTGGCAGAGTATCATGTATGATGTATCCTGTACACCGACCGGGTGGGGAAGGTTTCACAACACCAACCGCCGCTGTTTCACTGATTTCTTTGAAAACAATTGTTTGGGCTGGAGTTAACCTTAAAATTAACAAACAATAGCAACATCACTTTTCCTCTAGTTGACATTAATTTGGCAAGTAAAAAAATCTTTATTTTGTGTCTCAATAAACCTTCCCCTATAAACATTTGTTTCAGCTAAATTCAACTATTGGTTGTTTTTCTGCAATAAAATTGTAGCTGCCCTTTTTATTTAGAATACTCTCCCACCCTGGTTTGTATGGACACAAAGCTCCCCTGAAATGGGCCCACTACTCTACTTCTGGGCCATTTCAACATCCTCTTAAATGTTTTGTTGTGTCTCTCTGGTGTTAATGATATGCGTCTTGTCCTTCAGGATGCGTGGAGCGACAATGAGGGTCACGTTTCTTTGGACAGCCAACAAGACTACGAGTTGATGGAAGCCACATACAAAACTGACGGATTCTACATGCTTTTCAAGAGACCGTTCAGTACCTGTGATCCCAGGGACTACCTCATAGAGGTGTGTAACGTCTTTCTTTCCACACTGTGCTTGTGTGTGTGTGTCTGCCTGTGTACATGTCAGGTATGATGTGTCTAATATGCACTTATTGGAGACATTTGGTTATGCCTCTGTCTCTCCTTTGTATCCACTATTTTGTAGAATCTTGAGTTTGCAGATATTCCCCAAAAAAATGACATAGCTGCTACTTATGTTGCACGGCCTCAAGCCAAAATTCTGTCTGTCAATCCTGAACCGAATGAACCTGACAGTTAACAGGTGGTGAGAAGATAACATGTCAGTAAGGTGGGAAAGATGGCGTTTGAGTGCACATGCGTGTAACATAACGACATAGTGTATTTGCGCTGAATGTGTTAGTTTGTGAATGTGTGTGTGTGTGTGTGTGTGTGTGTGTGTGGGAGGGAGGGTGTGCGTCTGCAGTTTGTGACATTTCCACTGCTGTCTTTAGTGCATGTTTTACAAAAAAAGCAATGAGAGTGCTCATCATGGAGAGCTCGTGGTTTCAGGTGAGGACTGATCAGCACAATTTCCACTGAAACATTCATTAAAATGATTATGGTTTCCATGGTGCTGCATCAGACCTCTAAGTTGCAGACACAAAACCAATGGTCATCACCATGACAACATAATGAAAAGTTCTGTTTGCCATTCGAGACTATTCATATGAGAAACACAACTGCTGCTTGTGCTGTGCATTGCAGCCATCATGCTACATGCTTTCTTTTCTGATTATTTTGCGATTGGTCAGGAGGGAACCGTGCACATCATCTATGGACTTCTGGAGAAACCACTCGCCTCACTGGATCAGCTGAACCTGTCCCGGATCCACACGGGACTTCAGAGAGTGCTGATGCTGCGCCCCGACACGCCGTCGCCCACCCTGCCTCCAGACGTGCAGACGTTGGACGTCGTGGCGCCAAATGTCGTCATCCCAAATCAAGAGACCACCTACTGGTGCTTCATACAGATGCTGCCTGAAAACATGCCAAAGAACCACATTATCATGGTATAGCTGATAAATGCCATTTATATAAAATAACATAGAGGTTTACACAGTAAAGTGGGTGTTTTGGATGGAGACTGTGCACACGCTTTTATTATTGCTCCTTGTTTACCAGCTGGGCCTAACAAAACAATAGGGTTGGAAAAATAAATTTAAGAAAATGTATTAACACAACAAACACATCCCCTCACATCCTTATAGTTTTCTCTGTGAAAAAACGTAAAGTATTATAAGATATTAAAGCAATCGCACAGTATGTAGCATTTAATACATTTCAAGTTTAAAAGATGGCCTGAGGTAGCGGTGTTGAAGAACACGATTCTCACTTGTTTCTTTTTTCCATCTCTCTCTCTCTCTGTTTCTGTCAGTATGAGTCAGTGATAACTCCAGGTAACGAGGCCATCGTGCATCACATCGAAGTGTTTGAATGTTCTCCGGATATCCGCGACATTCCAGAGTACAGCGGCTCCTGTGATGACAAGATGAAGCCGGGCAAGCTCGCCTTCTGCCGCCATGTGCTTGCTGCATGGGCTATGGGTGCTGAGGTATGATGGGAAACAGACGCCCACGCACATCTCCTTACTTCTGTCCTTACGGGCACCTTCCACTGACTATGTTCACTCCCTGTTCCCTGAAACAAAAGAAAAAGAAAAAAGTGCTACAAACATATTCTCACCACTTACCTGAATACAACTTTTATGATGCCAATAAAGCCAAGTCCTAACCTTTAAGATGCAACAATAAACCCCACACAAACGTTAGATAAAGCAGAATAAACACATGCATTGACATGTTTTTAATACACATTGCAGGTGTCTAATTGAAAAAGAGTTGGAATGAATCTTGATTTTGGTCCTGTCCTCGTATCTATTGTGAGAGATAAACAAATACTCCTTCGCAAGTAATATTCAAGCCTAGAACAGCAAGCAGAAAACCTTGTAAAGAGGATCCCACACGCAGCACAAGTCTATTAAGAGCTCGGAGACAGTCTGTATGTGGGAAGTTAACTCTCGTGCAAATATCCACAACAAAAAAACAACTCTTATTAATGCACTATACACTACAGCAGCTGTATAGTGGACTTCATCAAGTGGTCAGAAACACGACTCCGAATGAATGCTAATGTTAGTCTGTGTGTGCTGTAGGCAACTGTTTGCTGACATTGTTATAAGGTAATATCTCAATGTTGAGTTACGGCTTATTCAGCTGCCCCCCCAAGTGGCCGAAACAATCCGTTTGCTCATCAACAATGCTCATCAACCAGCTAAAAGGTGGCAAACACCTGTTTCTTCAGCCAGCTAGTCAGTCAGTCATCTTTCAGGCATTAAATCACCCCACTTATGTTCCACGGCAACCATCCAGCCGGCTGACCAAGCAAGCAGCCTGCTGGTCACATAAAGCAAAGAGGACAGGGACCGGTGAGCGTGTCACCATATTTCTCTGCTCCGCTCCCCACTGTATCACAGCCAGCCCGGTCCCTCTCTGATTGGATTATCTGCCAGCCAAACGAAAAACAAGCAGGATGCCTTCTGTGAGCCATGAGCTGTGAAGACAAGATTAGGTGGGAAATATTCAGGCCTCTTTCATCACCTCTTAATAGTGTTGTTTCATTCTCCCCGGCACCGCATCAGAAGGGAAACGTGGCCCTGCAAAATCACATAACAAAGAGAGGAAGAGGGAAACAATGCGGAGAAAGAAGACAGCACTAGAGAAAAAGAGATGCGTGTTGTAGTGCAGACTGCAAGTCTCTACGGATTTTACTGTTATGACATTAAACCAGATTAAATTGAACAATTCTCTCTTCCATTACAAATTGTGTCTATCAGCAGAAGTGGCTTAAGGTGGTCTGAAATAGTTGAAGACACTGATGATGAAGCGAGATTAAATCAAGTTTCCTTGATAAAAGCATGGAGGTTTGACGCCCATGGGGCCAGCAGTGACTGGAAAAATGTATTTTTGCCACGATAAGCAGAACAGTTCAGAATCCAAGGAGCAAGAGGATGAAAAAGGAAATATACCTCACAAGTCCAACCAGCATCTCAGAGGGCGCATCCATATGAGAATACAACCGTTCCCTGCAAAGAAATAGTCAATAAACACTGTTTGAGCCAGCTCATAGATCCCTAAACAAGGTTCTCAACAAGGAACAGAGATGATTTTGAGTTAATAATCAGTTTTCTCTACCATAATCACTTCAAAATCCCTTTCTGTCTTACAATCTGTCCCCGTTACAATTTTAGAATCGGTGGGCGGTTGGAAGTTTGTGAGTGGGCATGCCGTTATTTTTAGCAGTCATCACCAAACAGTTTAGAGAACCACAATAGTAGAGCTATATAGAGGCAATCTATTATCTCTGCAGTGTGGGCGAGAAGATGAAGAAGACTGATAATTGTGATTCTTTGGGTGTACCACTTTGACCGGGATCACGTTGGTGGTTTGAGGGGAAGCCTGTAATTGACTATTCAGACATCCTACGGTGGGTGAAATGAAAACTTTGTCATCTGGAAGTTTGAGGAAAACTTGTCAAGACTCCAGAGAGAGGGATCACTTCTTTTTGTGATCTTCTAACAACATCTGCCCCCAAAAAGGAATGATTTCCATCCTTGATTTATTTTTGTGTGTGTGTGTGTGTGTGTGTTTGCAGGCTTTTTACTATCCTCCTGATGCAGGGATGCCTGTGGGTGGACCAGGCTCCTCAAGGTTCCTTCGTCTGGAGGTCCATTACAACAACCCTCTCCTTAAATCTGGTACATACAGTACACACTTATTTGACACACAGTTGAACTCCAGCACATCCTGTAACACATGCCCTCTGTCTTTTTCTTTCTCTTTTATATACACACACACACACACACACACACACACACACACACACACACACACACACACACACACACACACACACACACAGCAGGATTCTCTGTGCCTCTCCCGATGAGTGCTGGGCTTATTTTGAACAGATGGATTCATTTAAAAATGTTCAGATATACCTTTTGATCTCGCCCGTACAAGTCGCCACAGACTTCGCCTTTGTTATCCTGTTCTGACCTTACAATACGCATAAATCCAACATAAATATCTTCCAATTCTCAGCACTTCCTTTCTTGCTTTATAGTTATTTTCTGTTACGATTGTGTGCATGTAATTGTAATATGATCTACAGGTAAACTAGTTGTTTGTTGAATATTTCAATCTTCCATGATATTCTTCACGCAGGCCGTAGGGACTCATCGGGGATACGGTTGCATTACACCCCGAGTCTGAGGCGGTACGATGCAGGGATCATGGAGCTGGGGCTTGTTTATACTCCCATCATGGCTATTCCACCCAAACAACACACCTTCTACCTCAGTGGATATTGCACCTCCAGGTGTACCCAGACTGTACGTATGAAAAAAACAAAAGAATGCTGGGCGGATATTCCAGCTGGCGTGCCACATATTTCTTCAGGTTTTGGTCCCTAAAGCACAAAAATCCTGGTTGGAGCGTGACCTTAAAATGTCTGTTTCCTTGTCCGTCTGTTTGTCGATCTAGGCTTTTCCTCCAGGAGGAATCCATGTATTTGCGTCCCAGCTGCACACCCACCTGACGGGGCGTGGGGTGAGGACAGTTTTGGTGAGGGGAGGCAAAGAGCTGGAGGTGGTACAGGAGGACCAGCACTTCAGTACTCACTACCAGGTGAGCAACAGCATGGCTCAGTTTACCCTGAGGAACTCGGAGATCTACCTTCATGTGTTGTATCTCATACTGTATTAGATTGGATCAAAGTGAGCTTTACTTCATATCACACTGAGCCGTGTGCCACTGGGACAAAGATTATCCTCTGCTTCCACTGTACCTTTTAAAAGAAAAAAAAAGCTCCCACCTCATTAAAATAAAGGCTTAGAATTCGTCGTTAATTTTACAGCAGACCCATATAGGTTTTAGAAGAAGAAGCATAGGTACATTATGTCAGGAATTAGTTGCAGAGTTTCAAGGAATTAAGTAGGAAAATATTACAGTAGTAGTCGTTTTTAGTAGTTGTTACTCAAACAGGAGTAAATATACAATACTGTGAGCTTTTATTGGAGCTCTTGTGCAAAATACGGTATTCTACAGAAAGTTATAAACCTACGATCAGTCACAATTATAGCAGGCCTCATAAGGTATAGCACACTCTATTCTTCATCCACAGGACAGCAGCAGGAAATAATGAATGAAAGAAAAGATCAACTCAACATCAGATCAGAACTGACAAACAACAACATTAACATTGTTGAGAGACAGCAGACAACATCTGTTGTGTTTTTTTAATGCACAATATCCTGGGGCAGGTAGACACACACACACACACACACACAGGGCAGAGAAGGACATCTGCTAGACCGCCTGATAAAATCTCCAGCTGCTGTTGATGTTAGACTAATCTGAGTGTACCTGTGTGGCGGTGCCGTTTCAAATCGTGCAGCCTCATTATAGGCATATGAAGACTTTATCAAACCATTCGCAGCAAAGCTAACAGACCTTTCCCCACAAACATACACACACACACACACACTCACATACACAAACACGCACACACACACACACACACACACACACACACACAGCTAATAACTGTGAAAGCTGCCTCTAAGGAAATCATTAAGAGCAACCAGTGTTTCATCTTGCTGTGTAAATATATAAATAAAGTGTCCAATAATGCCCAAACTTAAGATGCTAGAGAGGGAAATGCATTGTAAAAATGTGTCCAGTGGTAACAAGGAATTGTATTGTTAAAACAAAGCACTGTTTTATTCAATCCACTAAGATCATTGGCATTATTCTAATCACACCACAGACTAACTTCTAGGTTTACTGTTCAACAACAAGAATCCCCAAATTGAATGTTGGGTGGATTTTCATTTTAATGTACTGTGTTTGTTTTTGGTCATCTTTCTTACAGACGATCCGAGTTCTAAAGAAAATGGCTAATATTTTACCTGTAAGTATATAGTTGATCCCTGCGCCTGCATTTGACAAAAGCAGTGACTGTTATGTGTTTTAGTTTTTCACTGTGCAGATGTTACAATCAGACAAGCACAGTTGACAAGAATGGGAAATTACTATTCTGTGAGCTCAGCCAACTAGGTCTGAATGGTCGTGGCCCAGATGTAGGTTTTTTTTTTTCTCCCACTGCATTTAAAGTATTGAATTAGAATACCTCGCCGCTGCATAAGGTGCTTAACTGGAGTGGAACTAGGGACAGGCTGTGAAATTGGTGCTGTGATAGGAAGTTCTCAGGAGACAGAAGACAAAACCGCAGCAGCTGGGCTCCACACAGCAAAAAAAAAAAAAAACTGCCCGCTTGCGCTCTTAAATTACTAATTTTCTGTGAGTAACCTTTAAATTCTCACCAGTGGTCTTTGCTAAACATAAAAAGAAGGTGACCTGCTGGTGTGTTTGTGCTTGATCCTGCAGGGTGATGTTCTCATAACAAAGTGTACTTATAACACAGAAGATAGGAGCAAGCCTACAGTGGTAAATTCACCTTGAACACTGACAACAGCAACAGAATCTCTCCTCCCTAATACCTACATATGCTCTCTATACTAAACATCTACACCTTCCTCCACCTCCATCCAAAATCTCTTGTGTCCTCAGGGAGGTTTTAGCATCATGGACGAAATGTGTGTTAACTACATTCACTACTACCCTCGAATTAAGCTGGAGCTCTGCAAGAGCCACGTTGAAGCAGAATACCTGCAGAAATACTTTACCTTCATTAACAGGTAGCACACGCACAAAACACCTCTCTCTCTCCCTGAAATCTTTTGCTTGTTCCCCATGTCCTTCAATCTTTTTTCATTTTGCATCCACCCCTCCACCTCCTCTGTGACGAAGCAATTTTGGGGTTTCAGCATAGCATTCGCCCCTTCCACCACTGCCCTTCACTCCCGAAACCAGAGATGTGATTACTTCTTTTAATCTCGGAAAACCACATGCTTTGTCCTTTAAAGTGAAACTGTGTTCTCTTAATGCCAATTCTAACTGCTTCCCCCCCCTCCAACATATTCCTCCTTTCTCAATCTCCCTCCGCCTCCTACTTTTATCGACTTTCCTTCAACCTCTCTCTTGCTCTTCCCTCCAGGTTCAACGGAAAGGACCAGTGTGTGTGCAGTGAGGTTGGTGTGACGGAGCAGTATTCTCAGCTACAGTGGGACGCGTTCACTGGAGAAGTGCTGGACTCCCTTTATAATACAGCCCCCATCTCCATGCACTGTAACGAGTCGAGTGCACGCCTCTTTCCTGTAAGTCCCCGATCACACGCACTACAAACGACTGCCAAGCCACCAATTAAACCAGTTCAAAGACAGACCAGCATTAGTTGGACAGAATAGTCTGATCATCTGAACGGACAGCTTGTTAACTTGTAATATAAACACATACACACTCGAGCATTTGTTCCATTTGGATTAGAGCAAATAAATCAATTAAACTCAAAAATGTACAGATGCCTTGATCAAATTTATTTTGCAAACCAGGCCAGATGCAGACGAACTGACTCCAGCGTGTGAATGAAAACATTGAGAGCAGAACTTCGAGGTGTAGCCTAACATGAAGTCAGCATGTCATTTAAAACATCAGGATGAGGCTCATGAAAGGACGCGTCCTGCTTGATCTCTTCAGAAACGGATGCTGTCAGGAGCATTCATTTTCATTTATTTCATTAACTTCAACAACAAAAGTGGCATGTATTCAATTCATGGAGCCACCGCTGGAAGGCGGTTGAAAGACTACAACATGCTTTCAAGATATTTTGGGCGAAGCCATCATGCGTTAAATAATCTTAAAGTAATTCAGCAGCCACGGGTAAAGTCAGGCTCTCACAGTGTTGTGGCGTTTATACTCCATATAAAAAGGGCAGCAGAATACTTAGTAAGGAATGACGAGCAATGCACCAACTACAGGCAGGAGCTCTTGCAAAATTGATTTTGATGATTTTTTTTTTTTTAACCAAAATGGTAAGAGGCAAAAATGTGTGAGGTTGAAGGACAACTTGCAGCCTCTCAACCTTTCTGCAGCAGACAAGTGACCGGCTCTCTACCCTCTCAACCCACCGTCTGCTCAGGCAAACATAGGCTGAGCTAGACGGGTACAAAGCATTCAAAGAATATGCAATAACATTTTATATTTCTTAGTTATCTCATACGTTTAAATATAGATATAGACACACACACAAGCACACCAATTTTAACAGTTTTAGCCTTCCTCCCAGCACTCGACAGCGTCCAACCACCAACCACCCACTGCTTGGAGGACATAACGATGCACACCTGTTTTCACTTTCACTGAATGAGATTATCAGCAATGATAGCGCAAGCAGAAAGTAATTGACAGATAAAACTGGCAAAACACTGAACTGAAATTGAGAATTTCACACAAAAACACTGCTTAACTGTACCTTGTGAAAAGAAGCAGCCTTTTCAGTTTTGAAGCCATGTGCCATAAAAAAATACACTGAAAACCACAAAGAAATGGCCCCGAGTGTATTTTTCAGGTTCAATATATTGTTCCATAACAACTGTGCAGTTATCTAATAAAAACCTGCAATCTAATATCAAGGATACTACCCGTTGTTTTGCGAAACAACCCATCAAACGTCACCAATATCATAAATCTGTTTCTCCAGGGAGAGTGGGACAAACAGCCCGTACCGGTGGTTACCTCCATCCTTGAAAAGCCTCGCTACCCTTGTGAGGGAGGAGCACATCCCACCAGCCGACGCCTTACACCTGTTGTCTGAGCGGAGGGGGTCCAACGAAAGGGCCCCTGACCTAAGGAAGTTAAAGAAGCTACATGTGAGTTTGCAGAATTTACCGCTGTTTTATGTGTTTGGGGATAGAAGACGGGTTTTCTGACACCTGCTGTAATTATATCCACTGTCTTATGTTATCAGTACACACAAATGAATGATAATCCTATTTATGTGTCTCGTTTCAAAGCACGGTACAAGGACTTGAGAATTGGGATTAGCATGTAACGAACCAATAAAAGTGTGACTAATGAATTGTTGCTTGGGACAACAGCGTTAACTTCTGCTGCGTTATTGAAAAGAAAATTATTATTTTGCTTCCCTTTCACATGAAATAAAATGACTTCCATTTTCATTCATCACTTTTACAGTTTAAAACTAATTTTCACTCTCTTTTACTCAACATGCCCCTGTGTGTCATTATTATTGCATGTTAAATAATAAATGTCACAAAAAATGTTGGCAGTTCAAAAAGGAATTTATTAAAATTGCATTGGACAGATTAAATGAGTGTTTAACGTCATGTTTTCAATTTGAATGGTCATTTTTGTTATTTGAACAACTCTCTCAAGACATTTCACATTTAAGAATACACTTCGCCTGCTTTCCATAATCAAGACTTCTGCGATATTCACCTCACACCACAGAAGGAAGAGAAATTCTGTAAACTGAAAAAATACCTTTGGACAGAAGTGACAGTGTTTTATTAGCCTGCTTCACATTTCCCATAGAAATCTTCTTATTAACCTGAGCCACGACTGAGAACAACTATTTCAATGATTAATGGCCTTCTGGGCTGAATCATCCCACATTAGTAAACATTTTGTGCTGAACGTGCAGCAACACAGCAAGTAGGAGCCCATACATGCAAATGCCTCCCTCTACTTCAACACACACTTTTGTTGGCTGCTGTTCGCACAGAGTGAGTGATGAACTCTTGGTTTATGTTTGGCCTAAACTGTGTTGGTGTAAGTGGATATAAACACAAGTATAATATATCAAAAAATATGTGTTAGAACAAAAATTAAATTTTGCAATTAGCTTGTAGACTGATTTTTTTGTTTTTAAAAAAACAAATCTTTAATCACTGTCATAGCTGCATTTAAGACATGGATTAGCTATCAAGGTCCTCAACTCCTGATTTCAGTTTTTCAAACAGAGCTACCTGTAAGCAAACCTGTAAACAGTTGTAGTTTTAGTTTGTATATATATATATACACACACAGAGTGTATAAAGGCACCATCAATTATTCATGAGTAGACTCAGTAAATTATCAAATTAAGACCCGTCTCAAAGTACCTATTTCGTCGATGTATCTTTTATTACACAAATTCTACAATACAGTCCTGCCATACTCACTTATCCACAGTACTACGTTCATACTTTGAATTGAAAGTATTAGGAGGCCAAGGCGTTGTTTAATGTGTTGCTCAACACCTCCTAAAGCTGCTTCGCTGTAAAAAGATTCAATTATGCCCCCTTCTGGGAGGGCTACAGTGTGAAGCCAACACACACTCACTCCAAACTCCTTTTGGTTTTGCACAGGACACGAACACTGGTTTCCTGGATGAAAGTCAGATGTTTGTTTGACCCTTGAGTTTGATTTAACAGCAATACAACACAAAATGAGAGCTCTTAGGAATGCCTGATTTGGTAGACAAGTCTTATAAATCAAATGCATCTGTTCAAAAAACAGAACAAGAGAATTGAGTTTGCAAACGGCAGCGGCAGCAGTTTAACGCCGCAGAGCACAGCAACAGGGGGCAGGGATCAGAAAACAAGCGGTTTCCATCTGTAACAGCTGCTTTCTGATAACTCTTGTCTTTCCCCGTCCTTTTTCTCCAGCAGTGTTTTGTCCCCGGCTGGTACTTTGCGCCTCAGGGTGCTTTTTTTTCTCCCTTTCCCTCCAACTCTGATAAACACTGTCTGCCTGAGAACCAAGGAAGCCAGTGAAACCCTGTTTTCAGTCATTATTATCAGGACAAACATCAGTTACTGTAATTTGACTCAAACTGCTACAAGGGTTAGTGTAACGTTTGAGCATCGCTGTATTCCCTAATATGATTATCTATGGCCTCATAGGATACATTTGAAATGAAATATTACAGCACTGCATCATAATACAATACAGTGCACTATGAGGATATAATTAGAATGCCAACCTACTATTAGCCTGTTGCCTAATAAAAGGCATGCTGTAGTTTTCTCTTTTAAGTACACAAAGGCCCTGGCCACTAATTGAGAATTTACGGTATTTACTTTACACACACATGCATCCGTTACTCTTGTCTTAGACTTCCTAATGTATTTGGTGTTATGGCTTAAACATGCTGAATTAGCTTAATTTGACTGTTTGAAAAGAGCAACTATTGTTCAGTTTCGTTTTTGTTTCTAAAACTAAAGATTATTCATATGCTGTTAAGATCAATCAAGGAATCAAGTTAGCTGGATCACAAATGGTTCTTTTCCAGTTTACGCAGGTGCTAAAAAAACGTTGATTACTGGAGACAATAAGAATTAAATTGTCTTTATAGTAATGCTACTCACAAGAGAAGAGTGTCACTCTCAAACCCAGACGGGGTCAATCAAAACATTCATACCAGATTCAAATCAGCACCTTTTATATCTTTGATACAGAGTTTAGACCATCTGTAACAGTTCCATCTCTTCCCCTCCAGTTATATTAAATCCCAGACATAATCTTGAAAAAAATAATCACATTTTCAGACGCACAGTTATGACAGAGTCCAACGTGTTCAGAGTGAAACGGCTGCATCTGCGCTCGGAAAACAAATATCACAGTTGCAAACCGTGCACCTCTCTCAGCCTCATTCTCCAACCAGAGTGCGTTTTCTTCAGTTGTCGTGGTCCTTCTCAAGCATAGATGCCCTTGACGCGTTTGTTCTCAGGGTCAAATAGAGATTTGAGGTGGGCCTTGGCCTTGTACGTCACTCCCATCCTCTCCAGTGTAAACTCCCCGCTCTTTATGAAATCGGCACTCACCTGATAAGGAAAGGAAGAGATAGATCAGAGGATGAAAAGGGGAGAGGGGAGGGAATTTACATTTTTGGGAGACGAGGAGACGATGGAGATTAAAACAGAGAGCGAAAAATGAGATGACCAATTAATCCACACTCTTTGTGAATATAAGCATTCCCGGCTGGCGGATCGCTCCAGAACGGACAATTTCACGGCGTTCGTATCCGACAGAAAAGAATGGCGCAGGAGTTATAAAAACGCTGAAAGCAATCCATTCACTCATGAGTCAATGTCAGCTCCCTCGGAACCCCGAGAGCTCATTTTCACTGACTGACTCCCTCTTCCCTCCCTGCAGCTCTGCCACTGATCTGTCACTCTTTCCTTCACACACAGACCCAGAGCTCCCTCTCATCCCCCCGCATGGTTTTTACTACTTCCATGTTGCAGCCACTATAACTATTCTATTAAAAAGATACAAAGCTACCCCATGTTTCTGAAGTGATTCCACAGTATATCTAAACCCAACTTATACAACACAATGAAATATCGGTGTGCTAGTTCCAAGGATTATGCAATTCACACTGGCATCTTCACCAACATGTCAATAGTTTGTTTTATTGAATTATTACCTTCGGCTCAGCTCACAGCAGACCCCACTTTAGGCAGCCCTGCTCCAGATTAAGCCAGCTAAACTTAAAGACGCATTTACATAAAACAAAATGCATCTTATGTGCCTGTGTCGAATGCCAAAATACCTCTCTTTTCTCGTCCGCAGTTATAGCTAACAGAGCAATATTGGCACATGCCACGCCCACATTAAAGCGATCCAATCACATATGAGGAACCTGATTTAAATCCCTATTGTAATTAAACCGTGCCCACATATCTCACTTCACTGGGAAATACGCCACATTACAGAAGTCAAATATGCTATATGTGCTGTTTCACTGTGACTTGATTGAATTGACTTCCTTTACCAGCTTCCATCCTTCTGTTTGATGTTCCATCTGTTATTCTGTGTGTGTGTCTGTATTATTATCGAGAGAGAAACACACAAAAAAAACCCGTATGCTGGCCAATAAGACTCATTACTCAGTGTAAAGTGAGTGGTGGGACATGACTGATGAAAGAGACGGATGCACCTACCGGCTTACATTTTGAATAAACACAACAAACACAGTACTTTCTTTTTCTAGTTAAGTGTATGTATTCATTCTAATCATTAAGACAACTGAGAGCTATGGTGTACCCAAGCAAATATAAGAAAATTAGGAAACAAATTAGGAATTAGTAAACAAAACATATTAAATACAGAACCATAAAAGAGGCTAACGAAAGGGATACAGTGTGTAGGTATACGCATATATGTGTTGTGTGTTTAAGGCCTTTACCACTCCATCAGGGTTGCGGATGTATCCATATCCAATAGTTTTGTCGACATAGAAGCCATAGTCAGAACGTCGTAGGTGACCAACAGGAGTGCCGTTACGGAAAACGGCCTCCAGACCGAACATCGGTACTTTCCTAGCGGAGAAGAAGAGAAGGGAGTGTTTCACCTCGTTCAAATAAACAACACACGTGTCCCTGTTCCTTTCAGACACACTCACAAAATCCACTAATTCAATTAAAGTTGGACTTAAACTTAGAGCATATTTAATGAAATATGTTTTTATGTGCACAGGAACATCTCCCAGCACAGCAGACTGACTTCCTCCTACACAAAAAAAAAAAAATTGTATATACAGACGCATACACACACATTCACACTTATCATGACTGTCAGGACTAAACAGAATGTGCCCACTCTGATAACATCTCTTTCACTAGAAGCAATGTTCTCTTGATGGCAAATTGCTGTAGACTTTGCTCAGCTCATTCGAAGAGGTTATCCTCCATCTGAAGATGAAATATTAATAATAACCACACCACCAGTTAATGTATCTGCATCTTAGAATCTTAACTAAGTGTGAATTATTTTGAATGTTTTATATGTTTTCGGAAAAGAAAATCTAATAGAAAAAGACAGAAATGTTTTTAAAATTCCAGTATGGGCTTGCATTTACAAAGAATGTATTAACTTTAAATCTAGCATGTAAAATGTCTAAAAAGAAAAACACAGCAGGGAAGTTCAATAATGTTCCATTAAACTGCTTCTTGATGCTTTTACACAATACATCTGTGGCTGCACATTTGGAAAATGCATCAATATTAAGGATTTTGTTCTCTATGTGAGACCATTGTCTAAACTATTTTAGGTTGTGGCTCTATGTAATCAATTTGTGGTAAAATGTCTAAGTGGCTTCACTACAGGAAGCTTTTATAAAATGTACTACAGTGTTCACACTTTCTGCTTTTCCATTAATTTGCATTAATGTCTTTCTGACTGGCACATAATCTCAGGCTTTACTGACTCATCAATGGTGAAGCAGACGATGCGCCTCCTCAGCCCCTCCTCCTTCTGCTTCTCCAGCCGCTCACGGCCCTGGAACGGGATCGAGCTCTTCAGTTTGCAGGTGAAGCCCAGCCCCGACTCCAAGGGAGTGTCATCTGGGCGAAGGTCAGCGTGCCAATGTCTGTACCCTGATAAACAGGGGAGGAGAAAGAGCAAAGACTTTAGCTATGAGAAGCACCAAAAGAAGAGCTGGATTTGTAGCTAAGGGTTTGTTATCTACACTATGGCCTCTTATTCTGAGTTACCTTTCTCTATGCTGAGTGAGTCGATGGCCCTGTAGCCCGAGTTGATGATGCCGTGCTTTGCACCAGCAGCCATGACAGCATGGTAGACTGGAAGGCAAGAGTCTTTGGGAATGTGCAGCTCCCAGCCGAGCTCTCCGACAAATGACAGACGCATAGCTCGCACCTGGACGAGAGAGAGAGCGGTGGCTTAGAGTGATGGAGAGAGGCATGTAGAGGACCAAGCTGCCATGCCTCTGCTCAGTCACTCACACACACACTCCACTTTGAAGGACCGGATCTGCAGTGCTTGTCATGCATTTTAAGAATAACAGAAGTTTCTGTGTGCTGCTGCTGCTGAAGAGCGAAAAGCAAAACGGCAGAAAATAATTGGAATGGAAAAGATGCAATGATAAGATAAGATACACAAAGAGGGAAACAGGGAAACTTTAATCTCCCTTGAGACATGAATGTCCTCAGTTCTTTTAGTCCTGAAAGAGATTGATGGGGGTTAAGAGGTGAAAATGACAGAGGACAGAAAGGAGGAAGTGAAGTGAAAGAGAAAACAGAATATAAAAGGAGAGCAGGGAAGTAGCTAGAGACGGGGCTTGAGAGGTGGAAAGAGGTGAAATGTACAAGATGATGAACAAGAAAATGCAGGCATACTGAACTTAGGAAAGGGGACTCTATGAATCAAAAGGTATTTACCAACCTGGATGTTATTCTCCCGATTCCGTAAATTATGAATACTGGGCATGAAAACATTTTACTCAAAGACGTCTATTGTAGAGATTTCTGTAAATCCAGTAAAACAGCTTTTAATTAAAAAAAAATCAACAACACTTAAATGTAATAGATATCATCTCAAACTGCAAGTACACACAGAAAGAACTGCTCAGCAGCTGGGGAACGATCACCAGTAAATGGTATGTGTATCTTATGGTGGCAATCGATGAGAACTGCACAGAGAGTATCCTGACATTTTGTTTTTCCAAATCTGAAACTCGCAGACACAAACTAGCGCTCTGTGTTTTCTCCTACATCTCTGGGGTGTTATGAGTATAACAGCTAGGTTAAAAAAATACCAGAATGCTCAGGATGCAAAATGATATATAAGAAAGAAGAGTGAATACTAAAGAAAAACAAAGAGGGAAAGAAGCGAGTGAGAAAATGTGAAAATAAAGAGAGAAAACTCTCTCCAATAGTTTCCCCAGTGGGTGCTGTGAAAGCCAGGCCATCTGGCCAGCCAGGGATCACCCTGGGCCCCATATGTACTCCATGAAACTCTGGGGAGGACAGTAGGCCCACGCTTAGTCACAACACACACACACACACACACACACACACACACACACACACACGCACACGCACACACCAGAGACACAGGCGACAAACTTAAAACACACAGAAATACATGCATGCCTTACGCACACTGTCACTTACACATTTACCAGGCAAACATCAAACACGGACACAGAGAGCACAGACGCGTACAAGTACAAAAATGCATATAAACATGAATTCATATGACCTAACATGCATGCCAGCACACTCACTTCAACTGGCGTGTTGGGAAGAGAGAGAGAGTCTAATGAGCTATGAGGGGAGCAGAGGGCAGAGAGAGAGAGAGAGCTCTGTTCTCGCAGCAGTGCAGCCATTAAAATGTCACCCAGACGAGGCCAGCAACCAGCTGGAACCACAAGCAACGCGCGCGCGCACACACACACACACACACACACACACACACACACACACACACACACAAAACACTTCTGCAGAACTGTGAGAAGATGCGGACTGCAATCACCGGAGCGTTGCATAATTCATGCAATCGCAACTTGCAGAGCGAGCGTGTGTGGACATATGTGTCGCTGCATGAGCCGGTACAACATGCTCTTTTTGATCCGAGGCCAGGAACGGTGTGTGGAGGTCAAACTGAGAGGCTGAGGCTTCGTCACCTTACGGCACGATTGTTTGAAAACTGAATGACAAATACAGCGAAGTATAAATATATGATCTCCCCAGTGCTTGTAAACAACAGCGGATTCACTTTTTGACTTTTGACCTCAGGGGAGGAAGTAGAAAGAGATAGAAAGCGGAAAGAGGATGAGAGAAACAGAAGGTGTGGACGGACGTGATATCCAAGTCACAAGGACGCCTGAGACATGCCATCTGTCCCCACTCACACTCTCGCTCTCTCTCTCTC